CTTGACACAGCCCTTGCAAGACTACATCAAAAGCCATCGTGTCTCTCCTGTTGTCGAGGCTTGTGCAAGGGGCAACCAAGGGATGGTACTCTGGTTGATGAACCATAATCCCTCGTTAGGGACATTGGAAGATCGGGATTCAGAAGGTCACACGGCGCTTTTCAGAGCAGTCGAGGGCCTGAAAGAAGTGGTCACTATGATGATGCAAGCACAAGATGAAGGAAATGAAGCGCTTCCAAGACCAAAGCTCGATCAGCGTTGGGCGCGCATGGAACCATTTATTAGTTGGCTTCTGGATATGAACTGCCCTATGGAGATGGAAGATGAGGGGAATGAGGAAAATGACAAACAACTACTAAAGGACGAATGCGCCTACGCTAGTATTCTACCTGAAACTGTACTCGGTAAAGCTGTCTCCTACGCAAGCTACAATCTAGTCTCACGTCTTATTTCCAAAGGAGCAGATCCTTATGCATTCCAGAGATGGCATGGCGGCAATAGCTTTGCTATAGGGTATGCGGAAAAAACAACGCCATTACACATTGCTGCATTGTATGGAAATGCCGAAGCCATCAAAGCTTTGTTTGAGCATCGATTACCTGAAAAAAATACAAATAGGGTGTCTATCGTCGATGATGAGGGACGAATCCCGCTACATTGGGCCGTGGCAGGAACTCACGTGGATACAATCGACTCTTATAAGATCACGTCGCGGATGGTAGCTACTGTCAAGTTACTCCTTGATTCCAACCCGGATATCCTTCGCGCTCGAGACAAGCTTGGCGCTACAGTCTTCCATTACGCAGTCAAAAACAACACAGGTAATGGGGCAAATATTGAGGCCATAACCATACTTCTGGGAGCTGCTCGGGATTGTTCAGATATACTCAACTCGCGAAATAATTCTGGGGTCAGTCCTCTTGGAGAGCTAATCGATTCTCACCAACTCATTCCCAGTGGTCTGACACACATGGAAGAGATTACCGGGCTTCTACTGAAACACGGAGCTGATGCGCGGCGATGTGACGAAGCTGGACGAAATATTCTGCAAAAAGTATGCAGCCTTGCTTGGCTGGAGCCAATCAGCTCGACCTTTATAGACCAATTACTCCAGCAACTTGATGTCAACGAGAAGGATGACTGTGGCTGTACAGCTCTTCACTATCTCGTAAAGAACTTCGATCAAGCCGATGCTATCCGACACTTTTTGAGTCACAGTGCAGATGTGAATGCAGTTGACAAGGAAGGGGATACTCCCCTGCACGAAGTGATGAAGGGTACAATGGTTCGGAAACAGGATGACCCTACCGGTCTTGAGCAACTTCCTATGCGCCTCAAGAATGCACAGGATAAGATCATTCAAATGCTATTGACTTCCGGGGCATCTGAAGGAATTGTCAACGGAAATGGAGAAACACCAAGGCAAGTACAGAAGAGGGTTTTAGAAGAACGCGCTCACCGATTGGCGGCGCAGAAAATCGTCCGCGGAAGGGGTCGAGGAAGAGCAGTTCGGTAGATAGGATCGTGTTTAGTGCAATAGGCTACCAGCCCAGGTGTACGTTCTCATTCACATCAGTATTATCAAAATTAAATGTTCCAACACCCACTTTGATGCCTGACCTACAACGTTAAGGTCACTGAGTCCCACCATATATCCGATCAAATATATATGACATGTATTGAAATTAATGGCTGCTAGTGACATCTTAATAAAAATCTTGAATCTCCAAGGCTAGATTGCATCCATGGATTGATTACAGTCAGCAATGATTTGGAATAATGTTATGTACTGCATAAATATACTGCTTTTGAACCAATCAGGAGACAACCCAATCAACAATCGGCTCGGACTGACTTCCTATTCCGTCGGCTCCTTGGATACCCCGTGGCCAGCCCATGGCCAGCCCAGGGCCAATTGGTAAGAAAGTGAACCAACCGAGGTCGATTCATTATCAGGAGAATACAAGAAGAGAGTCATGTTCGCGTGTTCGCAAATGTCCCCTCTATCACATTCTGCCAAGTCTCTCCGGTCAACTCTATCAACGACGTCATCCCATTTATCCCCGCGGACACTCCAGAGACACTTCCCTATTACCTTCCCTATTTTCCGTCAAATAGCAACCATGTCGTCTGCTACATCGTTCTTCGACTTTGAGCCTCTTGATAGTACGTACAATTCACGTGGTGTAACTGCCAATATTCTTCCCTCATCATACCCCAAATATAAGCTCCGAAGAACCTAATCGCTAACCAAACCCCGCGTACGAACAGAAAAGGGCGCACCCTTTCCTCTTTCCTCCCTGAATGGCAAGGTCGTGCTAGTTGTGAACACAGCCTCGAAATGCGGATTCACGCCCCAGTTTGAAGGCTTGGAGAAACTTTACCAGAACCTGAAGGCCCAGTACCCCGATGACTTCACCGTCCTCGGATTCCCGTGCAACCAGTTCGGCAGCCAGGATCCCGGCTCGGACGATGAGATCCAGTCTTTCTGTCAGCTCAACTACGGCGTTACCTTCCCCGTGCTTGGAAAACTGGACGTGAACGGCGCCAACGCTGCACCCGTGTGGACTTTCCTGAAGGAGCAGCAGCCTGGGATCATGGGCATGAAGCGCATCAAGTGGAACTTTGAGAAGTTCCTTGTCTCCGCCGATGGAAAGGTTGTGCACCGCTGGGCTTCCCTTACCAAGCCCGAGGGACTTCAAGATACAATTGTTAAGGAGATTGAGAAGGCAAAAAAGGAGGGCACTCTTGCTTCGTTGAAGAAGAGTGAGGCTGGTGCTGAGCAGGCTAAGCTGTCGTAAGGCTGTGCTTGAGGTGTTATTTTCTGAATTATTGTGGTGATACCTTCATCTGTTTCATTGTATCTATATTCTGGTGCTTCTGCTTGTGACATACTCCTTTTCGGTTTACGATTTCGGTCTCCGATGGAAATCAAACCGAGCAGTAATAGTAATTCATATCCCAGTCTCAAAGCTCTTGGACACCTGTTTTGTAAAATTCACCAGATCAGTTCATTGGATCTATATCCAATTCTCCTTAACATGAGGCCCGACTTGGTGGTATGCCCGAGGGCCCTTGATGCCCTAAATTAAGCAGAGGAACCACCCTTGGGAATCAGATTTCGTAGCGACAGATCGTAGACCACATCCTCGACCTTCTTGACCTGTATTGCCACACAAATTAGAAATTTAAACGGCGAAATAGACGCTGTCGTGTTTTGAACGTACGCTGTACTTGATACCGTCGCTGCGCTTGCGCAAGATATCGTTCTTCAAGTTCAGGAGCTGGAACCCAGCGAACACTTCCTTGACGAAGATGCCAATCTGCATGGGACGGGTGTAATCACCCAGAGTGACTGAGTTGACAGCCAAGCGAGCCTGGAAACAAATTAGCTGTGGACAGACAGAAAAGCTCTGAGATTTGGGAAACGAACCAGTTCCTCAACCATGGCAATCAGTGCCAGTAGGTAATCCTCAATCGTCAAGTGGAAGGCATCCTGCTCCTTTAAGTTGACAGGAACTGATCAAAGAAATGCTAGTTAGTATTATTGTACATCAATGTATACATACAGCACCCGTGGTGCTCATCATAGATAGAGATAAACAAAACGTACTGTCCAGGAATTTTCCCACATCATCGATAGTCATGAAAGATGTTGAGCTAGGTCCCTTGTGCTCTTGCAGTCCTCCCAGCCATGCGCAAAGCTCAATAGAGGCGACCTGATAGATTGGATCAGCATCAGTCTTCCGACATTGAATTTCAGAACACAAACCAGGTTTTGCAGCTCACGGGTCCATAGCCCGTTGTACTTGTAGAAGGGATGTTGATCTGCCACGGCCTTCAGACGAGCAATCTCTTCCTTTTGGGCAAGGATTTCCTTAGTGACATCGTCAAGCACGGGCTTCACTATTGTAGAAGTCAGCAAGACGGTTCACGAAGAATAGAGGATTAGTGTGGAATTCTGCCTGTGGGAAAAGTGTGGGAATTTGAACGTTGTACGGTGAAGAAAAGAGAAGCAGTTGATCCAAAGGATGATACCCCAATCCTCTCATCAGACCACAGATAGATAATGGAATACTTACACTGATCAGCGGGCGTAGAATGAGCCCGTGACAGGATAGCCTGTGTGGAACGCCCTGTAGCATTCAATATCAGTCCTCATGTTCAGCTTCAATCCCGGGGGTGCCGTCCGGACAGGGGCAGGCACCTGGAAAGTCACGCATTGTAGAGCATACCTCTTCTGGCGAGTGTGCGGACAATCTCATTTAGTTCCTATCCAATATTGTTAGCTACCTGTCGGTGTTCCTAGCTCAAGGGTCTTGTTCCGGTGTAGGCTTGGCGCGCGAAGAATTCGCCGAAGTCAGGACGCGCTTTGGTATGACTTACATCCCGGACAGTGCTCTCCTCGTCGATCTTCGCCTGGAGATTCTCGAAAATGCGTTGATCAATCATTTTGTGGCTTGGTTGTGATTGTAGATAGATATTTGAGAAAGTTGAAGGAAGGTGTGGTGTTAGAAGTGCGCTACGTCAAAATCCACGTTGAAAAAGAGAATAGCGTGCACAAAACAACGCAATTATTTGCTTACATCGAAAATGATATGATGAGATTTGATATTGCTTTTTTAAATATATTTTACTGTCGGAGGATACTTCCTCCAGAGTAAAGTGATCCGAGGCACTTTTCTTTTACCATGATTTACGACACAGCCTACAGCTACCACCCACGAAACGATGATAAAGCTTTGGAGGATTTTTAGCTTCTTGTTAGAGATTTGGATCTCACAAAGAATGAGGTATGTATGTGACTCGTGTCTACCCCCCGATCAAAACGATTGCAAAAGTGACTCCTCTGCAGAAACAAAAAAGAACGCCAGAACCATGACCATATTTGCATATTTTATTGTTGCCAGATCAAGTCTAGTGTTCGTCGTAAATGTCGTAAGGAAGCGATACATACACTGGCCGGTGCCAGGGTAATCACGCAGCGATGGAGGCAATGCTTAGTATCGGTATCTGGTCGAGTAATCTGCGAAAAGTCGGTTGTTAGCGAAAGGTGTTTCTATTCTAGGATGGATATTGAATGTACCTTTGGGGCTGACCACTAGACCACGGCCCTTCTTGGCGCCCTTGTATATCGTCTCGATGATGTCGATCAACTCCTGCTTGTCCTCCAGCACCCAGTTCAACTTGTTGTTGTTTCCTGTGCCGAAATCGCACATCATGTGCTTGTTGCGGTAAAAGAACATGATCGTCATCCGGTCATAAAGCTCGTACATTTGGTTGAAGTCCGAGACTTGGTCAAGGTCGCATAGGTAAATGACAGCGAAGTCTGGGGTAGGCTGGTTAGCTGCTGTTCGGTTTACTGTGGGGGGTATCTCGGTCACTCACTCTTTACCCGCTCGGCGATTTTGTAGAGGAGCTCATCTTGGCGGATACCTGGGAGAATGGGTTAGCCAGGGGCGGTGGCAATGTACGTAGATAGCACTCACAGTCGGGATCATGATCTCGCCCGAATCGGATCACTACCAGGCGTTCTTCCTCAGAGAGTATAGCCTGGTCCACATGCCAGGCTGTTTGCAGGTGAGGGAGGACAATCGAACCCATAACGATGGCTGGTTTTGTGTCGATAAGAGTACGCGCGATGGGAAAAATGAAAGGCTTATCGATTGGGCCCCGCGATCAAAGCTGTTGTGTCATGTGACCACTTTGGCTGTTCTGAACAATGTTGTATAACTGGGGTGTTGCCTAGACTGTGTTTTATTCAATTATTTCTCAGTGCGCTATGTTAGAAATACCACGGTGATTATTCTAAGGTTAGGCTGTGTATGACCTCATCCAGGTGATGTGAGGCATCTTGGTCTAAGTACTACACTGTAGGACGCGTTCTATGAACTACAACATATATGACAGCTGGAGATATGCAAGGTAACGCCTTGTCTAGACTGCTTAGTCTGTTGTGCAGTTGGTGTGGATGTGGATGGGTCTAACTAATCCAAGCGGCTCATCTCGGTATCCGACTAGGCAAAAAGTACAGTGTAGGACGCGATCTACGATATGATAGCTAACAGTTAGCGTCTATTCAACTGTAAGAGAAAAACAAGAGCATCGCGGCTTGAGATGTTTCAATACCCCAGGGTCTATTCCGTAGTAGCAGAACCGATCAATCTAGAAATCAAAGAAGCCAATGATGCCGAAAGCAGCTGGCCGAGAAGTCTTCAAGATTGATCCTTTTTGGTTATCTTTTCTGACACTGCTATGATTGAATGTAAAGGATATGCCTGGGCACACGTCTCTTCCGCTCGGCCAAAAGACCATTATGTCAGAGCTCTCGCTGACATGCCCAGGACCAATATATGTAGTAGCGCACCAAGTTATCCGTGACATTGAACCAGATTTCTGTACCCTTTAGAAAACCCAGAGGTACATTTTACAAGACAAAAGCCCAATTTATGACTTCTTCTCCAAGTGCCCGGACAAGCCGAGCAGTTGATGAAAAAGAGTTCGCGTCGATCGGGGGTAGTGTAAGCCCAATGACACTGTGCAACGAGGCATGCGCAAGCACAGGGGCCAAGTCGCGGGATCCAAAAATAGGAATAATCAAAGTGTTTCCTGGACGGAAACTTTCAGAGATTAAACTGAAAAGAACAGATACTACACTTGATCTAAGCCAATAGGCAAAGAGAGCTGAAGAAGAAAGAAAAGAAGAGGAACATCTGGGGGCAGGGACACCTTCTTATACCCAAATCGATGTGGGTCTACGACTAGCGAAATTAAGCGATCCAATCGGAGATAATGATCCCGAGACCCCGGGGTTACCTGCTCAGGCTAAGCGATAGTTATGCTGACTCACCCAGCTGACTTATTGATCCTTGCCCTACCCTATATCCAAATTGAGCCTAGCGCAACACACCTCTGGCCGTGGCTAACCAACATTGGCTCCACCGCGAAATTTAGGAAGTTGTCTTGACCACTCTCTCGCCGGCGCAGGATATTCACCTCTTTGCGACCTTTCCCAATTCCCCAAAATTCATCTCCCCCCAATCCATTAACAATGGCTCCCGCTGCTGTACGTTGAAGTCCAAATCGCTTTGCTGTTCCCCCCACCGGAGTCTCTGCGGGCTCGTCTTCGACAACACTGTGAAACTCGGTATTGAAAAATCTATCGTGTCTCCCATGTTGTCGCAACCGAATCTGCGAGACTACCACCGGGGATCGACATTATGGAGCAGTAGGCTAATTTGATTCCATGTGGTATAGGCTCGCGGTCGCAAGGCCCAGAAGGTTACCCAGAAGTTCGTTATCAACGCTTCCCAGCCTGCTAGCGACAAGATCTTTGATGTCTCTGCCTTCGAGAAGTTCCTCCACGACCGCATCAAGGTCGAGGGCCGCGTCGGCAACCTCGGTGAAAACGTCGTGATCTCCCAGATTGGCGAGGGCAGAATCGAGGTTGTTGCCCACATCCCCTTCTCCGGCCGCTACCTGAAGTACCTGTGAGTTTATCTATTTCCCGGGATGCCTCCCGATAGGTTGGACTATAATTTTGCTGACCCTTTCCTTTTCTTCAATTCAGCACCAAGAAGTACCTCAAGAAGCAGCAGCTCCGTGACTGGCTCCGTGTCGTCTCCACCTCCAAGGGTGTCTACGAGCTCCGCTTCTACAACGTCGTCAACGACGAGGCTGAGGATGATGAGGAATAAGCGTGTCGCTCCTGGCATGTATTGTTTCTTTACCCCGTTCATCGATCGGTTCTAGTCTGTGTGTCGCGCTTGGAACGTCTGTATGGATTGAAAGCGAGAGCCATGGGGGGGATAAGATTGGTCTATGAGGCCACGAATAAAACTAAAAAAGTTTATACCCTCATTCTCTTCCTAGCATAACGCGCATGATAATGTAGATTGTCCTTGTGGTATCTTATACAAGACAGTAAAAAACCAACAAAATACGTGAATTGAGGACGAGAAAGAGAAATACATATCCAAGATCACCTGCTGGGCTTTCTCTTCTGAATCGTTGTCCATGAAGATGTCAAGGCTGATCCTTGGCCATCCGGACAGACCAACCTGCCCCCCTCGATTTTCTGTCCCTTCTTCTTCAGCTCTTTCCATTTCTCGCCCACCTTCACTCTCACGAGATCACCCGTAGCAACTGAATCTTCCTTTGAGTCGTGTCCATTGTCTCCGACCTGAATGTCGCGGCCAAGGTGCCTTTGAACAAGGGCCTTGAGACTTATCCGAATGGGGAGACCCTTGGGGTGGGGGTACAAGAGGACGGTGTCAATCACCGTAGGGTGAATGATACGGCAAGCGTTGAGGTCGTTGTCGATTGCATGACCGATAAGAGGTGTCTCGGGCTGGAGGAGCTTCAGAAGTAGATTGCGCGCCTCTGCGGGTGACTGAACAAGTTGCAAGGGTGGATTGATTTTATTTTTCTCGTCTCCTAAGGGTGAATGTATGTTGGACATCGGAGTACCATATGGACTTGCGGAAGCATAGTGTTGTGGCGTGACACCGGAAAAGCGTGTGTTGAGATCTAATACTTCGCCCATAGGCCGAACCAGCACATCAAGAAGATCATCGCCTTTAGGCCAGCTGACTGCAGTGAGACGAATCAGTTCGAGACCTAATGTCGTGTAGCCCATCTCGCAATCAATAGAGACCGGCTCAAGTGGTCCTTTTCCCGGCTGAGGTGGGGTTGTCTGAAATTGGAGGACGGATGCAAGTCGCTTGGTCTCCGAGACTTTGAACACATGTGTTTTGGCTCTGGTACACCCGGTAGACGTTCCCAGTGCTTCGCTGCAGCAGGGAAAGTAGGGCTGGGAGGGACCGGTGACATGGTCTGTTTTCTTGCGCTGAGGGTAAACAGGCCGTCCTGGATGATAGTCACAGTAACCACCACTAGCCAGGGTACCATCTTCACGTCGACCCGGAAATACCTGGAATCGTTGACCGCATCTATCACATTTCTCCCAGCCCTTGGACTCATCAACGCCTCTCTTGGCAGTTTCTATATCTGCATCCGTGGGCTGCTTTGTGACATATCCATGTTCTTCAAGACCAGTGAGGGGTGTGACTAGCTGGGATACAACTGCAATTTCTTCTGCGGGGGTGAGGCCTGTGTTGATGGGTCTGGGAATCACTCGCGGCTTTTGAACGGGGTTTATCTTATAGTATCGCGCGTTCAGATGGGACATCACCTCTTTGGCCCATTCGTCGATACTCATCTTTGTAACTCTCACGATTCGAAGTTTGACAACATTGCCGTAAACGCTTGGACTGTCCCTCGCAAATTTCTCTTCCTCATCAAGGGCCATTGTGATGAGTTCGTCGGGGGTTAGGACAAAACATCTATTCGAGCTATGCTTGTCTTTTCGTAGCTTCTCATTGAGAGCAGTCATGGCAGAGTGCAACTTCTGGAGAATGGCAGTCCGACTGCCATGAGTTGCCGGTGCATGGGCAAGCATGCGAGGATTCAAAGATTCTTTTGGGGCTTTGCGAGGGGGAAGTTCAGATGAAGATCCAGCAGATGAGGTTTTAGTGCGCTTCACAGGCTCGTTCCCCAAAGGCTTTGGTGTGCCATGGTTTGAGGTAGGCTGGGCGGTTGCTTGAGCTCCTGGGGTGTCTTGTGTATTTTGGTTTTGCTCGGAGGCGACTGATTTCGATGAACGCCGTCCCATTTCGAGCGATGATTCTTTCAAGCTGTGAGATGGAATGAGGGACCCCATCAACTGTGAGTTTTCCACTTTGGCCCGTTTAGAAGGAGGGCCATCGTCACCTGACACTGGAATCTTCGAACGCCGAGCCTCAGCTGGGGTTGGGTTATTATCATGAGAGAATATGCATTTCAAAAGAGTGCAATCCTTGCCTCGCGGGCATGGAATTGCCCCAAAAAGGCCGAGTGGCGTGAACATGATGAATGGTCACCAGGTGAGAAGATAGGTTAAGATGTAGAAATCCAGGTCTCGAATGCAAGAGCTAGTAGGCCGATCACAATTTTAGAAGTACCTAACGAATATGTATAGCTATCGCTGCCCAGCGATCCTTTTGTGTTTGTTTTGTGCACTGAATAGACCGAAACGAATAGCTATTGCAGGTAGTTAATGGGGTCGCATTATTCAGCACTTGCTTAGCCAAAGTGCATTATATCAAACAAAGCAACCGGGGGATTTGAAGGTATTGAGTGGTCAGATTGATATCACTTGAGGACAACGTTGGAGCTGTTCAGCGAAGTGGTAAGTCAAGGATGCAAAGAAGACAAACACTCACCTAATGCCTGGTATTTCAGGCAGAAACGAGTGGCATCCAGTCCATCTTTATTTCCTGTTGACTCAAGGTTTGTCTCGATGCTAGAGAAAATAATTCTCATTTCGATTGAGCCAAAAACCCCTGCAACAATGAGCACACAGATCTATGTTGTACTTGAGCACTTCGCCGGCCATGGAAGTCCCTTATCGCCGATAGCTCCAGGCTGACACAGATGCGGCCTTCGGGTGAATAGACATCCGGTTGTTGAATACCAGGCTCCTTTTCTTCCTTTTGCCCCTGGAATCAGTTCCATTCTCAAAGATGGAATCAAGGAATGAAACAATGGCAGGTACTTCCAAAGCCGACCATCTCTGTGTCTTAGTTCACGGGTACGCTGTATTCTCCTTCTCAATGACGTACTGACGAGCTGCTAACGCAAAACTCCCCAATAGACTTTGGGGAAACCCTTCGCACCTTGATTATATCGCATCCGCTCTAAGAGACAGATATGGCGGCGAAAACCTCTACATCCTCTGCCCAAAAACAAATAGCGGCAACTATACCTACGACGGAATCGAGTTGGGCGGAGAACGAATAGTGCACGAGGTCGAGGAGACTCTTGAATCTCTAGCCAAGAAGGGACAAAAGATCACGAAAATCAGTGTGGTTGGATACTCGCTTGGTGGTCTGCTCGCGCGCTATGCGATCGGTCTGCTCAATGCACGGGGTTGGCTGGATAAGCTGGAACCTATGAATTTCACGACCTTTGCCACACCACACGTTGGAGTGAGAGCTCCACTGAAAGGATACAAGGATCAGATTTTCAATGTTTTAGGGCCGAGGACGATCTCGGCATCTGGCCGCCAAATGTGGCTGATCGATTCCTTCCGGGGTACCGGGCGGCCGCTTCTCTCTGTTTTGGCTGATCCCGAGAGCATCTTCATAACTGGATTGAAGAAGTTCCGGCACCGCAGTGTCTATGCGAATATCGTCAATGATCGCTCAGTTCTCTTCTATACATCTGGTCTCTCTAAAGTGGACCCATTCCGGGATCTGGAAGACGTGAATATCAACTACGTCAAGGGTTATGAAGATGTCATTATCGATCCTGACATGCATGTGCTTCCACCGGTGGAAAGAAACCCCGGAACCGCAGCAGCGCGATTCTGGAAGAAGATAAAATCGTTGACTCTTTGGGTACCTCTGTCACTCTTGATCATTGTTCTCTCGCCTCTGGCTTGTACACTCTTCCTGGTAAATGCCGGGATCCAGACGTTTCGCAGTTCAAAGCGAATTCGTATGCATGAAATTGGCGAAAACGGCGAGCGCTTTGGAAGATACAGAGTACCGGTTTTGGTCCAAGATGTTCAGCATGTCGTGGAGCAGGCCTTTGATAACGTCAATGCTATACAAGAACCCGCTTACCTGTCCAACAGCGATACTGAGGTGTCTGATGCGGCGCCTGAGAAGCCCGTTAGATCGTCTGTCTCGAAGTCCGCGCAAAGCGATGACACTGAGTCTGCGTCGGCTAGACGTTCATCAACGACGGAGGTTTCGGTGCATTATCCTCAGCTTGCATTGACTCCCGAACAATTTGGCATCATTGATTCCCTCAACGCCGTGGGAATTCGGAAATATCCCGTCCACATACAGAAGCACCACCACAGCCACGCAGCTATCATCGTCCGGGTTGAGAAGGATGGGTTCCGAGAGGGTAAGATTGTGATGAAGCATTGGCTAGACAATGAGTTCGCGTTGTAATTTTAATTAGACATAAAGCCGCCCTCGAGCGTTAGAGCATACATGTATTTATAGTCTCAACATTTCATCAATTGATTATCGAATATTACTTTATATAACTATATAATCATCCTAGCAAGATTCAAAATTATGCTCAATCCCCGGAGAGACATAAGACACCCGGCCAATTCCCTTTTGCCGACTGATTTTACGGATAACAACAACCCAAGCAAGCTCGTCCTCGCAATATGAGTACCACCACAGGGATTGTGATCGAGCCCAGCTATACTCGCAATCTTGGTACTACCCTCTTCAGCGCCATCCCGTGGTCAATATCCGTAGTGCGGCATCAGCAAGGTACACTGTCCCTATTCCGGGGACCTAGGTTGGCATATTAGTGATGGTATATCGGGTTAAAGCGGAAAGTTAGTACCATTATAGGTGGTTACCTAGTGCTACTCTCCTGGATATATGTACTTACTTTTCAGTGAGAGCAATTATGTTTTGTCTGTTTAGTTTTCAGATCATTCATTTGGAACGTTTCTTTATCATTGATCATTCTGGAATCCATTTAAGGCTTCCGATAATACTATGTAGGGAAAACATCTAACCTATATTGTAATTTATCTGCAAAAAGAACCATGCGATGAATTGCGACACAATGCAGAAGTTCAAGTGAACAAGGAACAAGGAATCATATCAGAACAGGTCGGGAACAAAACGGAGGAATGGTCTAGATTGAGAACACGAAACCGGTTGTCGAGGAAACGCAGTCATGAGTGAAAGAAGATCACATCATACCGACTTATTTGGGAACTGCTTCGCTGATGTCATAGTCGAGCTCGGAAACAGTTATTCCTTTGGAAGTCTTTCGATGCTCGCGCTCGATAGCAAACTTGACGGCATCAAAAACATTATCGCATATCTTTCTGGGTGGATAGCGTGGGACAGCACCATCCTGGTAGACTCCAGTCTTAACCAGAATGGAGAACCAGTCATTTTCCGTAGTCTCGTTAAATTCATTTGTTCCACGGATGTCGGACTCCGGAGTATCGCCAATAAAGTACACGGTAGACGGAGACCTGTCGATGCCACACGAGTCCTTTCGCCACTTTTGCAAAAGCCGGGTGGCAAATCCATAGGTTCCGAGCTGCGGCTTACCGAAAGCAGTAGTGTTGAGGTCTTTGCCTGTGATAGCCGTGTAAACAGCCTCGAGGGAAGCGCGCAGCGCTCCCATTCCAAGACGTGAATGTTCATGCGATGTTGACCAAACCACATCGGTGTGCGAGAAGAAGACAGGTGGACCTTCAGTGAAGATCTCCGACCGTTTATTCAACCAGCCGTCTTTGCTCATGAGGCAGTCCAAAATGATTTGCTGGTCACCGGCCCAGTCGCGACTATCTGCAAAGACGAAGATCGCTTCGATGCGGACCTTGTCTAAATCGAGCAGTCGGGAATTTTGGTGCTCCTCATCCGTCAGCGTTCGGAATGGCGTAGTATCGTGTCTCGTCTTAATGATATCTCCGGGTGTGATGACATCCTTGAATCCGTATCCTTCAGCCACGACCCGGCATTTTTCACCCTCGCCACCAACCACCAGGACGGTGTTGTATCGCTCTGCCATTTCGCGCATGGGTGTGTGGCCACAGATAAACTGGCCAGGGTCGACTTCCAGGTCGAGTTGTTTGCTGAGGTCCAGGCATCGCTCTTTCTCTGTCTTTCCGCCGCCGTTGGTCAAGAAAATATAAGGACTATAATGTTGCCGTTAGATTCAAATTCCTTTTCCTTCTTTTCTTTTCTGTTCGCAATTGTTTCCCCTCACCCTGTCCTGGGCGAGGAACTATGGAAATAACACCAGGGCAAATACTTACACTTTGACTCCGTAGGGGTTTTCGCCGTTGATATACTTCATAGCATCAACGGCTTCGGGAATAGGCTCGCCGCCCTTGATCAGAACGCCATCGATGTCGAAGGCTAGGGCGAAATCATCGCTAGTAACCTTAGGAGGGTTCGTCATAGGGGTGTTGATTGGAGATTCCTCAGACGGTACTTGATCGTGCTTGGCCATATTTGAGTTGAAGATATTGTCAGGAGTGAAAATCATCGAATGCTTAAAGACGACGTTAGGCCCATGGAGATCGGTCACCCTTTGAGCTCCTGATCTATCTGTGGCCATGAAAGATGAAGGGTGTGGGGCGGCGGGTACAATGACGCTGGCGCTGCCTTGTGATGAAGCGTATAATTACTTCGCGTCAAATCTCTTCCAAATGGGTGCCAGCTATTCCGATATGTGCGCTGGGTATGCGCTTGAGGTGCAGGTTGCAGGATACAAGCAGATAGAGTTGTATGTTACTATATAGAGTAGCGGGGGGAGGGACCGAGGGTCATTAATATAGCACAAGGCCTAAAGGAAGACGTTTTACATCATCGACCCTTTTACCCCAAAAAAATGGGGCGTTCAGGTTCAGACCTTGTTCTGCAGGTTTTTCTGGGCTAAAACAAATCCGGAAAAAAAGGGACTATCGATCCAAAACGGCAGGCTACGACTCGGGTCGATGACGCTGATTTGGTAAGAAAAGAAGCGCAACTTCGGATTTAGTCGAGCATTGACAGGTTTCGTAAATCAGAACCAATCATGAGGGTAGGATTTGACAAGATCAGCCCGCTTCAAGCCTTTTTGCTTGCTTTACACCTGGTCGATGCTGAATATCCTTAGGAAGCGCCTCTTGCATTCTTCGGATGTATCGCGTATTTTGAATTTGACACGAGGGTCCCGCGGCTGCACCCACAGGACATATCAGGCCATGACGTCATGAAACTGGGTCTCAGGAACGGAAATAAAAACCAGCAAATTAACACCCATGGATGGATCTATGACTTATACCGTATGAAGGTCTGAGTGGTGTGAGAAGAAGAATAGGGCCTAGACTGGGCACGTTGGCGCCGCCACATGCTGGCCGATACTACCTCGGACCGACATTTAGCATTTGGGCTAAGGAATGCAAGCCATAGCCGAAGGTCACAGTTTGGATAAAGATGAAATGTCCGTCTGAACGCACATCAAATATAGGAATGAGTTGGCGCCAAGAGCAGCCCGAGTCCTACTATTTTGAATGCTCAGCGCAATGAACACTTTGATACCCTAAACTCGGTCTAATGAACTCGTGATATGCGGGATACCTGCCAGACTGAGTCAGTGCATCAATACATACATATCTGAGCTAATAATGATTGGGTTAAGATGAGTCCGGACCTAGGTTAGAAGACCTTTATAAGCCAAGTTGAAAATCTATGTTTCCTGACAAATGCTTTGTTGCCCAGGTGTGAGAAATATCAAGATGTATCTGCTGACACAAGAAGATCACGATCGACGGAATCTGGGAAGAAGTCTACCGGCTTGTCCACTGAGTTGCTTTACTTTTATGTTACATTGTATAGAAGAATGTTACGCTGGAATTTAATATGGATATTTCCGTGAGGCATATCACATTCGAATCATGAGATGCATCGGACCGGTAGTTATATTATGTAAAGTCCTCAAGCCGAGATGTCAGATCCAGACTCCTCCGCAAGGTCATCCATAATAGCGTCAAGGTCCATTTCATGGTCAATATCGGCCCAGTCGTCAAAGAATACGTCTTCCTCTCCATATTCGTTCTCCTCCCAGGGAAGTGCCAGTGGTTTGCTCGGATGGTAGAACATGCGATGGTAGAAGGGCAGACATTCGCATGAACACACGTCGTATTTGGGCATATCAAGAGGATAAGGAACGGAGACCATTGACATCTCCACGTTTAGCTCCGCGAACTTGCTTTTCCAGGTGTTGCCCTCCTGACATATCTCGGTGACGGGGGGTTGAATTTGGATTCATTGATTGATGGAAGGTGCTCTATGATTTCCGGTACCTCGCAGGTAAAGCGACGCAGCTTTGGAAGTTTTCCGTCTTTCACCATCTCGTAAATAACTGACGGGAGCCAGGCCTTCACTTCATCGTATCTTATCGTAAGACTTTCGAGGTTTGGCGGTAGAATATCATCTAATGGATCCAGTTCTATGCATTCCCTCCCTGCAAGTGTGGCGAGGGTTGTTGTGAGATGCTTGAGATGGACTAGTTCACCGAAGTCTGTCTCCTCATCACCTCCCCAGTAAAGATCGTAATCTATGTATTCCAGGGAACTGTCGTGTATGAGGGCCGATTGAATGTAACAATACGGTTCTCCGTCAGGGTCTATCAATTCATGTGATCTAGGTCCTCTGAAAGTGAATCGCTTCAAGGCTGTTAGGTATTCCAGTGCTGTTTGGAGGTCAAACGGGTTTATAACGCAGTTCAGAAGAGTCAGTTCCTCTAGGGGCGATGTAGATGATGCTGGAGGTGCAAGGTCGGCTTGGGACAATTGGAAAGTAGCGCCAGTGATACAGAGCTTTCGTAAACCTGGATGACAGAAAAGTGCTTCATTGAAAATCGGTAAACATCTGCCGTTCATCTTAGGATTGTGCTCATTATGATCATAGTCGCTTCCGATGTGACCTGGTAACATTAGATTTTTTAATTCAGTAGAGATAGGCAATTACAAGACTCACAAATACGCAAAGCGGGCAGCCCCGGTGGGGTTTGAAGAGAAGCGTGCCAGAACAAGGTTTCAGTCGCTCGCTCGTAAGTAATCTCGTGATCTGGAGGACTGAACGAAGATTCTTCTGAAGGCCCATACCCCAACTCTCGATACTCTTTCACGCTTCCTGATCCAGAGGCTATCTTTTTCACCCATTGTAACAGGGCGTCATCTCTGGCATGGGTACTGGCCCACCGAGTAGAATCAAAGGGCCTGGGATTTCTTCTCAAACTCAAGTTCTCTAGATTCGGCAAAGTCACAGCCATCTTGTAGAACTTGAGATGACGGTAGGACCAGACTTCTGACCCAGCATCCTGCTTGTGTCGAATCTGACGAATGAGTGTTGCTAACTCTGGACGCTTCTCTATCGTGAGAGCAAGACGAGCACCACTTTCAGAATTGAACAGGCGTACGCATTTGTAGAGCTGAGGGTCAATTCTGGAATAAAGCGCGGGGCATGTTTGAGCAAGTCGGCTCAGATGTTGGGCGGATTCTTCATCTTGTAGGTATTCAATGATGATATCCCACAGCTCCAGAGGAAAGACGGGTAGTAATCTGGATCTCTGGGCGAACGTTCGTTCCGTTGGAGTGGCCATTGAGGATGAATCAATAGGACTAATGATATATTGAATTCCGTACACACCTCGGAAGATGATGAGAAAGATGTGGAGTCGACGGGTGATAGGTTTTCTACTCTTTTTTGGCGGGACCCAGCTTCTTATCTAAGCCCCGCCAATTCTTCTGACCTGTGCGCTTGACGCGTTTTCGCGTTTCCTGTCCTCTTTTCTTAAAGAACAGATCTGAAGATATACAAGATTGAAGAAATATAGGAAGGAAGCTATTAATACGAGGAAGCCAAGCCGATCTTCAATGCTATTCTTATGCGATACAAACGAAATTCAAAAATTCAAAGCTCTCCCCCCTTATGAAAGAACATAGTAATATACATCAAATGCAAACTCTCATGATGGCATAAATTCCGGGTGACATAGCCCCATCAAAGAAAATAAATCTATTCATCAACGCGAAGAATCAAATCATCGCCCCTCCTCGACGGCGTCAAATTCCGACTGTTCGGAGAAACCCGTTTCGACACAGCGCCGGCCTTCCTCTTCGGACTATCAGGATAATGCACAGCTCCAGGATGCATATCTGAAGGATACGGCAGTTCCCCAGACGGTTCTCGGGACTTCGGCGGCGCGAGGGCGCGTCCACGCTCCAGCCATAAGTCATCTGGGCAGTATGGCGCGACGACTTCGCTGGGTGGTCGTGGACTGTTGCGGATCTGGACGCGTTTGATATCGTTTCCACGTACGATCCGCGGCCTGGATACTATCTCTGAGCCTGGAGGGAGGGTTGATGATGATAGGGTGGGGCAGGATTGAGGCGGCTGTCGTCCTGGTGACAAGCTGCGATTCTGGGGTTGAGCTTGCGTGGTGTTGACGGGAGTGGCAGGGAGGATGTTTGGGTTTGAGCAAGAGTATGAGGTTTGTGAAGCTTGATAGGGTGTAGCGCTACTGTCTGCTGACGAGGTTTTGTAAGCTGGGTTGGCGTTGGAAGGGATTGCTAAAGCACTCGGGGACCCGGATCTTCGTTTGAAATTGTCTGCTGAGAATCCCTCTTTGAATGCACGCGGATTGGCTGGCAGTCCTGCGAGTTTTGGCTGGATACCTGGCCTAGGGGGGTTGTTTTGCGTCATTTCTGCTGTCGCTGCCGCCGCTGCTTGTTGACTTTCGTCCTCTTCAAATAGAGTCTCCCCACTAGGTGGCCGATGACTCCACTTCAGCGGCTTCGGGTATAGTCCAGCTATAGGATCTGGGAGTAGTCGTGCTATGCTGTGCTGTGACGATTGTGTCCGAGGCGAAGTTTCCCAGTCCGAGTCAGAGCTGATGGCAAACCCTATTCGTTCTTGGTCTGTGGGCTCTTTGCTCTGGCCCAAGTGGTGTACCTTGGCATATTGCGGTGAGTATCGTGGTGGTTGAACGCTTGCCATTGAATGGAAAGTACGTGGCCGCTGTGCCATTGTCTCGCGGTCACTCGTTGGGCTGTATGAAGACTCTAAACCCAAGCCGTTCGTTGGGAGCCGTGGCATGGGTTTTGAAAAGTCTGGAGGCTCAGACATGGCGCCTCCGATCTCGAAAATGTGTGGTGCTGTCTGTTCCCGCTGTTTTCGTCGCCATCTCTTGCAGCAGAAAAATACAGCAACACCGATGATGAAAAACCCCGCCACGCCTGATGCTACTGACATTCCAATGATCGCCGCTGGAGTGATACCATGATCACCTTTCTTATTCGTATCTTCAGAAGAGTCACTGGAAATTTGTCCGGTAGAGGATGTTGGTTCAACTTGAGACCCTGAAGATGAAGAAGCAGCATAGAATGTGATTTCAGACGTTTGACTAGTAGTTGACGTCGGTGTCGATGTTGATGTTGCTATAGATGTGCCCATAGAGGCCTCAGAGGTGTGTTCAGTTGTCGAAGTAGAAATAGTTGGTGTTGTCTCTCTACTAGTTTTTGCATCACTCGTCTTCGTCGTACTCGTGTCAGAAAATACCGTCGCGGTAATCGTCTGGTGTGTTTTCGGAAGAGCTTCAGATACCGAGTCGCATATGTGATAAGCCTTTGACTTTGCGATGACTGTCTGTGAGCATACAGACAGAACACAGCTCAAAGCCGCTTCCCCCAATGTCAAGCTGCTGGTTGTCTTGGTACGACACAGGCACTTGATATTGGACGGTGACGTGCATTCAATGAAGGTGTATTCGGACATGATGAAGCTATCGACGCAATCCTTCGCACAGTCCGGGACCATGTCATATAGAGCTGAGTTTGCTGCATCGCTGGAGGCATTTTCGGCGGCAGAGCAGAGTGTGGATAAGAGGAGGATCGCGATGAGTATCCTGTGGATAGGAAGGAGGAGCATGCTGTGGTAGCCCTATACATGTTTATCATGAGCGACGATCTGTCATGTACATTTCTCCCATCAACTGACCTTGGATATTCCTACATGGGAACGATTACCCGTGAAAGCTTGTACATGCGGTTTCCATAGTTGGTAGATGTGTCTGCGAATTGAGTAGCATATGTGAAGGTAGTGAAATTCCAGAAAGAGGGACTCCAATCTAGTTAAACACCAAGTCAGAGCGCGACATCATCAGAGGCGCGAGGCAAAACTTTCCATGACGCCCATCGACTGTTGCGTCCAAGTATCTGCATTTCGACATCATTCTGAAACACAGTGCTTGAGGCTGTGTATGTATAGGCGCTAGAGTGAAACCCCATAAGATTCGAGATGGTAAGACCCGCCCACCCACATCCCCCACTTCAGGAGACGAATCGTTGTAATGGTATAGCGCCCTATCAGGATGGTGGGCCTAGTAGGCGTCTCCGATACGCGCCGGGCCATCGAAAGCGCTTAGACTGCAGAACGAGGGGTGGATGGCGCCGGACTCGGTTTCAGATTTCTCAAACTTGGTAGACGAGTAACTGGATTGTTGTTTTGGGCAATTCAACACTGTAAACGCTGTACAGGGTCAGAGTACAGCGTTACAGCGTTGTGGTTAGTTTCGCTTTAGTTGCAGGCCCCCGCCGGACAATGGTTTATCTGAGGGTTTCTGGAACAGATTCGGAAGCTCGCGGTGACCCGAGCCCTTTTTCCTGTCGGGTTACACGTGGCTGAGTTTCACAAGGCTCATTATGTTAAGATCATATTTTGGTCTGCCTTTTTGCCAGTTACGATGAATTACTCCGTATATTGTATGTCCGTACTTAACCGCCCAATCTACAGGCGCTCCCTACACACAGGGAACTCAGGAGGTTTATAGTAAAAGCCCATTCCCATGAATAATGAAAACTAGCCAACGGGCATTGATACGAAATAACACAAAGTCAGACCGTATGAGCTGGTATCATTCATAACGAAAAAGCAAAAAAGAACCCGCAGTATGGAGCAAGACAAAAGAAAAGAAGCAAAATAAAAGCATAACCATGCGACCACACAAAATATTAGGGAATTATGAACATCATGTCGGACTCGCGTCGGACCCGATGCCAAGTGGTGGAGGCTGCATTAGGCTAGTCTCAACCGGACCTCCACGGAATCACGCTGACACCGACGCCCAGAATATCGAATCGCATATCGAATCGCACCGACCCTTACTCTCAAAGCGCAAGGCAAAAGCAAGGGCTTATGTGAAATTGATCGCAGTGCATTCGCGTTTTCAAGGGAGATTAATCTTGGAGAGCGTTGGTTGCGAGGTTGTGTGGGAGGTGGGTATCTCTAGTATTTGAAGATAATGTAGCTGTAATATGGTCAGCGGCTGTTACAAGATGCTGGCGACTCAAATAAACACATACATGGCGTGGATGACACCGGGGATCCATCCCAGAATGGTCAATAGGATGTTGATCAGGAAATCAGCACCACATCCGCGCTCCAGGAAGACACCCAGAGGAGGCAGGATAATGGCAAAGATGATCTTGCAAATGTCACTATTGGCAATATTAGTATACTGAGCGTAGTGTTACTCACAGGCGACAGTGCGACCTGGACAGCGCGACCTGGGAGAACTGGGAGTGAGGGAGTGAGGGTAACAGGAGTGACAGGGCGACAGGGTGACAGGGCGACAGGGTGAAGGCTAGGACTTGAGTAGAAGCCATAGCCCATAACATAGAGAATGGACAACTTACGAAGCGGTGAAAGGCATTTTGGGCAGATTTGATGGAGGTTTTGAAATGTTAACGGGAGAAATGGGAAGGGAAGTGGAGGGAGGGAAGTCTTAAAAGGGGAGGACAAGGCTGAGAGCTTGGGTCAATTACATCATGGGCCGCCACCTTAGTGTGGCTCGTAGAAGAAGGAAAAAACCACCAAAACCAAGGAAAAACAGACTGCAAATGTGGCTTAGGCTATGCCCTGATTTGTCTTTTGACTTTTCTTGACATTTTAATTTTAACTTGTTTATCACTACTTCGTACTCTGTGCGACCTACGGAGTACAATTATTACATTGTCCAGGGTTGCCAAGATACTGATCATCTGTGCTGGCGACTGTCAATCTCATTCCCCCTAATGTTCTTCACCTATCCCGTTCATTCTTTTGCTCGCTGCCTAAAAGAAACTTGGCACTGGGGATTCACCTGCACTTCAATTTCGAATTTGTCGATCGTCTGTGTTCTAAGATTTGACTGTATACAACATATGTTGTACAGTACGGGGTTCCTTGTTACCTGCATGTACGGAGTACATCCAACATATGCGCCCATGCTGCAGTTTAAGTTTCATAATGGTGACGATCTCTACAAACACCGTCATTTCTAATTTTGGCGTGAATCTTTACTTGGTTAGGTCTGCCAAGTACTTGCCGGACTTTGTACGGTTTGTAGTGCCAAGTCCCCCTAGATCGTGGTTAGACAGGCCAGACAGCTCAGCCCTATGATGGGCCCTTGCCCCCCACCTGCCAAGGCACCTGGTTTATGTGGTTGGCGTTTATGACATCCTCGAAATAGAAAAGTGGCTGGGGACCATTGTTAGTGACACATCAACAAGATAAGCATTGAGGCAGTGAAGGGACCATGGGTCACGCGATACCGAGTTCTAAAGAGGAAATTACCAAACTGATCAAAGTCGGGTTTACATATCGTTTTCCAGCCAACATCAACTGCGTCTAACAAGGAGTTCCATTGCGGTATGTATGTTGTATGTAGATATGGCGCAACAGCCACAAACTCCGACCAAAGCTGTTAACTAGTATGTACCAGCCTCCTTACCCAATGTCAGTGGTCAAGTCCCCATTGGCAGTGAGTCTACTCCGTAGTGTTTCGCGAGTCGCTACGTGGTTCTTTACTTCTGCAAGAGACCCGCCCTGCGGACCGTAGCCCCCTGCGGACTTAGTGTTCAGGGCCACTGCTTTTGTGGTGTCCACAGCAGCATCTGCATGTTCTTCTGAACCCCGTGGATTAGTGGTCTAGATTCCACTTCTTGCTCCACACGACAAGGACAGTCGATTCTACTGGTGCATTATTATAACCAAACAGCGCATGAATACGGAGTACATACTCCGTAACTGCCTCTTCAATATTCGCAATTTACCTAAAGCTTGGAAGCATACGGAGTAATTCTAAGGTGAATAAGGGCTACCGTGTGCTTTCGGGTAGTCTTTTATCGATGTCATTCTGGTTATTCCGTTGTCCCTTTTATAGCTAGAAATATGAAAATTTGGGTAAAATGAAGAAAATATCTAGATGACTCTGCTACATATAGAGTACCCAGGGAATATATATCGATGGACGGCGGAGGCTCTTACTTGAATGAGGCTAGCGTGCTATATTGAGTTGTTCACCCACAACCTTCGCTCTGTATCACAACCTTGAACAACTCAATCTAAAGCTGATGTCAAGTATGTTGCGTGATTAGTATCGTACATTGTGCATGATCTCTCCTGAGTACTGAGTACGGTGAAAACAGATGTTCCGCTCCGCGACTGACCCACTATCCTCCGCAATGACTTCCGCATTTTCCTGATTGGATCAGCTTTGATCTTGATATCTCAATGTCAATGAGATTCAAACCGATGAGGGTAGCCTTCAATCCCGGACGCTGGCAGCTTCTGGAATCATGCAAAGCCCCTAAAAGCCTCGGTCGCGCAAATAGATGGTATGCGACACAGAATTTGGCCAAAGGTGGCCGGCCCTTTGCGTACACATGGCTCACAAAGACAGCAGAACAGACAGTGAGCAAAATCAGCCCCCCTACACCTTTGGAATCTAAGCTAAATAGTCCAAGACCCCAGATGATATTTTATCCAGTCTTCCTTCAGGGCCTGTGAGCCCATCAGCCGCGCCCGCTTCTGTCCCTCTCCTCCTCGTCACCCCAAGCTTCGCCCACTGGCTTGATTCTTCTAGTCCTTTCTTGTCGCAATTTCTCAGTCGCCTTTACGGCAACTCCCCAGGGAACGATACTCTCTATGTCGTTACAGCCGTGGTTGACGCACTCCCGAATACTACATCCGAAAGCCGCAATTTAAGTGAGTCTGAAGGGCTGTCGCTTCTGATAGTAGGGCAATCAGGCGTCCAGGCAAAGGCTGCACCACCCCGTCTCATCAGAAGCTCTGCCAGCGAGGAAACCAATCTCTTGTTTTCATTCCAAACCGAAGTGATTGGTCAAACCAGCAAGGGACCTGCGCATGAGATTGGGTTGCGCCTAGCGAACACTATATTTGTCAATGGGAGGGAAACCACAATTTTTGGTACACGTTGGCTTTGGGATAAAACCTCAAACAGATATGCTTTGGACAATTCGGTCGATTTCACAAGCTGCATGCTTACAGCCACTTCCCAGGCTGTAGATTCTGCTTTGGAGTTGCCACTGTACCCAGTGACTGGACGGCGAAGAGTCATGACTAGCATGGGAAACATTTTACGGCAACTAGCAAAATCGATGGATCTGACATCGACGGACACAATTCCTGCTTCGTCCGAGCTCGAGAAGGAGCTTCCGCGTTATATCGCAGAACATAATATCGTTGACCAGCGTGTATCCGTATGGGCACTTGTCGAGAAATCTGACTCGGAGGTGGCTGATTCAGGCTCATCTACCCATGATCGCTTGATCCAATCTCTTCACCGAGGTGGGAAATTGCACCGTGTCATGAGCGGTGGAGGTGGATGGGGAAAGAAGCAGGGCCTTCTTTCGCTAGATCCCGAAGTCAGCTTCTCTGGGACTGCCAACCGAGACGATCTTGTCGCATTGACTCAAGTTTTGGATCCTGATATCGCACAGTTGGACACACTCCCTTCTATTGATAAGGGGATTACTGTAGATGATCTATCTCTACTTTCACAGGTTGCTACTGCAGGTGATTATATTCAGTTCTTTGTGTCAGTAGAACCAACTGGGTCGCAGATCAAAGTTCCGAGCAATCATGACTTGCAGGAAGAGCCTATCAGCTATCACTTTGGAATGGTAGCTGACTCCATGAAACTTGAAACACACCAAACGGATGAGGAAAACAATGGGATTATTTCTTTGCCTCACACCTTTGGCGCATTGTCCGAGAAGGCAATCGCCTACTCGCAGCCCATCAAAGGAGAAATACGGTCGGAGTCGTGCACGAAGCTGGATATTCCAGGATCTCGAGTTGTCCTCGAGACTATATAAACAGCATGATACATGTACAATAATGCATACATAACCAACTGAACAAACCTACCCTAGCTGAATCTAGTCATACATGTCACATATGCTGTAGTCATTACCTGTCCGGTGGATATGCCAAGACATTACACGTGACCCAGAGAGGCCAGCATGTTTGCCGTCGACCTCCAAGCCTCTGGACTCTTTCCATCCTCTCCGACCGCATCCAACTGAGCTCGCCGACCTCGGGTGTTTTTATTTCTTTTTAAAGGTCTAACTACTCCACGAAACCTCGCCGAGTCGTCTTTGATCAAAATGGCAACTGAACTTTGGTAAGTCGTCAGCTAGACCTCCCTCCAGCCCCTGGGTGCTCAACACCTTGTTATCAAGCCCGTCATCCCCCATAATTTATGGATCAGCCTTGCTAACATTTAGATTGACAGCCCCGTCTATGCGGTGAGTCTTGTTAAATGCTAGATCTCGACACCCGAGCACAACCAAGCCAATCGCCCGTGTCTCGGCCCTCCGCGTCATCCATCTGCTCACAATGCATCCGAATGATAACTAATCTTTCTTCCTTTAGCCCTTCTTTGGCGCACTGGGCTGCACCTCCGCTATCGTCTTCACCTGCTTCGGTGCCGCATATGGAACTGCTAAGGCTGGTGTCGGAGTTTGCTCCATGGCCGTCCTCCGCCCCGACCTGATCGTCAAGAGTACGTGGATCTCAACAAGAGCTCTGCCGATCTGGCAATGAGATATTCTTAGTCTCGCGCAAGGATATATGGCAGCAATTCGCTAACTAGTTTCCAGACATTGTCCCCATTGTCATGGCGGGTATCATTGGTATCTACGGTCTTGTCGTATCGGTCCTGGTCGCCAACGACTTGACCCAGCAGCTTCCTCTCTACACTGGTTTCATCCAGCTCGGTGCTGGTCTGTCTGTCGGTCTGGCTGGTCTTGCTGCGGGGTAAGTTTCCTACACAGCGAATCGCCTATTGTTCTAAGTTTGTTGCTAATTGGGATTACAGTTTCGCTATTGGTATTGTTGGTGACGCAGGTGTTCGTGGAACGGCTCAACAGCCTAGACTGTATGTCGGAATGATTCTGATTCTCATTTTCGCTGAAGTCTTGGGTAAGTCGTAGCTATTCCTCATACCTCTGTATAATTGCATCTAACCATCCCTCGCAGGTCTGTACGGGTTGATCGTTGCTCTTCTCATGAACTCGCGCTCGAAAGCAACCTGCTAAACGAAAGACCTCCCGCAGCATTCCGGGAATGTAACGTCGAATCGCCTCATGGTCCGCGCGCGATTCCTGGTTCATTCCCGGATGTGCATTCTCAACATTTCCCCGACGCAAACCAATGTGCCCTCTTCGGTCGGGGAAGCTGACATGATAAACTTGGTGCGGGGGCAGGATCGGATGATATCGGAAAATGTTAACGATTTCAGCCCATTTGAAAGTGAAGATTCGGTGATTGAGTGGATGTAGAACCGGGAAATCTGTTCAAGAATTCGTCCTGGACTCGGTGGACAGGTGTGGGTAGATATTGGATTTTTTTTGGCTTTACGTTGCATGACACCGCGCTGGACTTTGTACTTTATATGAAATTCGCTGATCGGGGACTTACGTCTCCGTCCTCTCTTCCATTATGGTGGTTTGGCAGGATCTTCTGTAAGGAGTTTCTTGTTTCTTTCTTGTCCTCTGCCCTCCCTGTGGACATGTGTTTCTTCTATCTCAGGGTTGCTTAATTCTTTTGGTCGAGTGATTTGGGCTCGGTAGTAGTGTGCATTCAGCCCTTACCTAGGTACGGTGTTGTGACTCATAGACCTTGGGTATAAATACGTATAGATCTTCTTAGGCGTCGGAATATTGTGAGTGAGTTTATAAGAGATCATATTTACTGAGATAAAACAATCCCAAATCAGCCAAAGTAGCAGCGCCATAACAGAAATCGAGTAATCAAGATCTATTTGCTTATCCGAATGCATGGGAGAGTCAATGCCCACACCACACAGCAGCCAAAGACCGCAATTACTTCTGCGCAAGTACAGCAGTTCGCAGCTAAAACACCAAGAGAGAAGAAGTATTTGTGTATTTGTGGATATTTGATCGAGTATAGGGCGAGAGAGAATAGATAAGGGAGAATGGAAAAGGAATAAAAAAATGTATGAAAGCGAGGATATATGCCCTGAACTCTCACGAGACTTGCCTCGACCCAAAATGCACAGACGCAGGCAAGATGCAACTGATAGCAAAAAGAACAAAAGTAAACCAGGAAACTTCAAGCACAAGTCTACTTGTCGAGTTTCCGTCTTAGAGTACGCGTTCTCTTCATCAGCTTCTTGAACTTGTGCTTCTTCATCTTAGCCTTGCGCCGTCTCATGGTGCTGATAGCATGCATGGTGCGGTTGTTGCGCAGACGTTCCATATATGTCATACCCGCAGTGGAATCAGAGGGAGCCTCGATAGAGATCTCGTCGCGCATATCAGATGGGTCTTCCATCTCTCCGCTGCGAACGAAAGGTCCCGTGTGTGCCTCATAGGTCTTGCGGCCGTCGGCATGACGAGCCTCGCGAATAGTCAGGACGGTCGAGTAGGTTTGATACTCATTGTCGACCTGGGCATCGATGGTCTCGGCAGTCTCGGCAATCTCGGCAGCGGATGTGTCCATGGCGACGGGCGGGGGAGGAGGCTGGAATGGGCGGAGACGACGGGTGAATTCCTCCACAGACATCTTTGAGTCGGGGCCATCAAGCATGCGGAGTTCGCCGTCCTGTTCGCTGAAGCTCCGAAACTGGTCTTCAGACTCTGACATGCCTTGAGAACCAGTTTCCATCGACTGCACGGCCGATGAAAGAGTGAAGATGACGTCTTCCGGTTCATTCTTCAGCGGACGCTTTGACGAGAAGATCGCTTCGAAGGCATCGGTGCTCGAGGTGGGGGGCACGGTGGTCGTCACCGAGATTGGCCGGTGGATGGAGAAGAACGACGCTATATGAACATCTAGCAGCGAACAAAAAGAAAAGTCAGCTTCCAGTCATCTATTTGCGGAGACAAAACCATACACGGGGCTTGCTGGGGTTTGAGTACTAACCATGTGGCTGTCGGTGCTGTGTCGATGGAACACTTGGGAGGTTGGAAAATGCCGTATGTTGACTAGACTTTGAAGAACCGTTTCGGGTAGAGCTGTCCTTCCCCCGACGGCGGTTAGCCTTGCTCTTCTCGCTAGATGAGTTGACTCCTTTTGCCGGGGCAGAGGTGTCCATTCGTCGGGAGCCATCGCTGGGCGGGACGGGCGGTTTGGAGGATGAGGAGGAATACCGGCGTTGGTGCAGAGGTCGGGTTGCGCCGAGCAAGCTGCTGGTAAGATTTTGACCGGAGCGAGTTATACCGGAAAGCGGCATGGGAGTCCATGCCGCCCGGCGTAAGGATGTTGACAACATGGTTGGTAGATAACCCAGTCACTACTGAGAGGGTGAATGAGTCTGAATCGGAGGCGAAATCAGTCGGCCCGGAACTCGGGGTCACTGATCATGCGGATGCTTATGTAATATTGATGCCTAAGGTGTGACAAGTTATAGACCACGCAATCTTGAACTCGTGTGGTTCCACTTGATGGGGAGAAACCCATCTTTTATACATATTGACCGTATTGTTTCTTCGGGCTGTCTCAAACGGCCTGATGATCTGATAGCTAAACCTAATTTTTGAAGGTACATCGAGGCTGGAGTCCGAAAAGTGAAAAAAAGTGCTCATAAAAGAGCAGGATGTCGAGTTCATTCAGAGATAAGATATAGTAAATAAAAACCCAGAATGATTGTGATAATACAGAGCAGTCGTTAGTAAACACAGCTGCAAAGACAAATAAATGGTATCACTCTGCATTAAACCAAAAAATGGAGGAAAATGGGGATGGCAACGACACAGTCGCTAACCGAAACATGGGCATTAGTTGGCGAAATCGGATAGGCTTTTGGATGCAACGTGATAGACCCAATGATGTGAGCAGAGAGCAGATAACAACCTCTCAGTCAAGACGCCTCGTTAAAAAAAAAAAAATTTCAAGAATGGAAAAAAAGAAAATACGGCAATGATCACGAAGGAGTGAACGAATTGTAGCCGCCCTGGAATGCAACCGGAAAATAACTGGTAGGCTGAAGAGCTTGAGAAATAGGAAATGAAGAGAAAGAAAAGAAAGAAAGAGAAAAATCATTGTCAGACAGAGGGTCATGGGGAATGCCTCGGGGATTTGAGGGCCTCTGCCTTATAGTATTAAGGTATGCAGATTCTTCTGAATGATCATGTCCTGTACTGAATCCATAGTCGCCTTGAGTAATGTTGTATCAGTTGCGTTAGTGTAATGGATGTAGATTTCGCGGTCTGGGATGCGGTTGATGCCGCGGAATCGGTCTGCAAAGTACTGTGCCGAGGAATCATAGTCGGTGTCCGAGCCGGTATAATCTGGGAAGTGCTTGGAGATAGAGGAGATGGTGAGTTTTCCTTTGAAGAGATCAATCTTGTTGAGGAACAGAATGATTGGTTTGCGCTTGAACCATTCGCCGTTGACTAGTGATTCGAATAACATCATGGCCTCGTGCATTTGATTCTGTAAGGTGTGGTTAGCGGTGCTAGCGAGAGAATTGGGAAAATCGTGCTTACAGCATTCTGGTCTTCGACTAGACATTGGTCATATCCAGATAAGGCGACCATGAACAATAGACACTGGACACCCTCGAAGCAATGGATCCATTTCTTCCGCTCTGACCGCTGTCCTCCAACATCCATCATGCGGAAGTTCATCTGCCCGAGCTCAAACAAAGTTTCCGTAATACCTGTCGTCCGAAGTCGAGCCTGCAACATGTCCTGGTTATCAGGAAGCCAGCCCGGAGCGAATATGCGATCGAGAGATCCATAGAAACTGAGTTTCATCAGTCCAAGCCCATGTAATATATCACCAACTCAACTTACTAGTGCAAGTTGTCATGGAGAGCAAATTCATGCCCTCGTGCAACAGCGTTCTGCACACCTTCATCCTTCCACATGGCCCTCATCGCATCGCGAACCTCGAGATTGGAGAAGGCTTCGTTGGATCCTACATCTGGGTCCGTATTGTCTAATAGGTCGGCAAATGGCTTTCAACCCTCGTTAGCTGATGTCGGTCTCTTGAGAAAAAGGCTGGTTAGTACCTTGGTCTTTTCCTCGTTCTCGAAATCAATATCCTCGGCATTCATGATATCCAACAAGACCTTGAACGCAATGACGATGTTCGAGTAGATTACGGCACGGGTTTGATGACGCTCTTCCTCGGGGAAGCCCCGGCTGTGAATGATTCGCATCTGCTTGATGATGGTGGACTTGCCGGACTCTCCCGCTCCTGAGTATTCTATTAGTAACGCGATCCTGAAGCAATCCGACAATCAGCGACCGGGAATCACCCACCTAATAGCAGAATCTTGATGGTCCGGTCCAGCGTCTTCTTGTCATTCTTGATGGTCCGGTCAATGCGCGCATTGCGCTGGAAAGCATCCTTATCAACCTCCTCGGGCTTTGAAACCAAGCAACCCATGGTTTATGTCCGGTAACGGCAAACTACCTAGCGCGATGGTGGTTAGCAACGGTCTATTACAAGCTGAACTAGTTTGACAAGGTACTCGACGGATCAACGCGTTTTCAATCCGAGTCAGGGATGCGATTGGATTGCGCCACACGGGAGTCCGGTCGAAGCTCAGAGACAAAAGACTCGACTAGACTCCACCCAGACTCGACAGGTGACTCTCTCCGCGCAAGGTGATAGATGTGCATACCTTGAAAAAGAACAAAATCCTCCTCTCTATTATGCCTAAGTCCAACTCCGACCCAACGTCGAATGACTGGCGTGCAACGTGATAGGCAGAAGCTTGAAAGGTTCGATGGGTGCTTCCGTTGTTCCCCACACGTATCGACCACGTTCCGTTGCGAATTGAGCGGTCGTATTTCCAATTGGACTAGGTTATCCTCCGAGACAGGCGCCAAATGTGAGCGACACAACGTCAGCCTGCCGAAGGCCGAATAGGAAGCTTGAAGGGGAAGGACGTTGGCGGTGACGGGGGAAGCCGAGATCGCGTTCCAAAGTTCAAACTCTGGACATTTCCCGAGTTCTGAGGACAAAAGGACGTTTCGGAGGCTGAGAGCCGAGTTCTCCGGAGGGGAGAGGGGGCGAGAAATGGAAGAAATGGAATGGCGCATTCAGGTCGTACGTCTCTCCCGTCCCACGAGCGAGTCCACAAGCGGGGAGGTGATCACCTGTCAGATATTCTGGTATTTTGTATACTGATTTCGGTATCTTTGACTTGAGTTTGTGTCAATGTTCGGTATTTGGAGTATTTGGAGTATTCTCAGGTATTTTCGCGTGTTCTTCAGGAAAATATGTATGTCCTCGTTATCATTTCCGTTAATTTCTTTTCCCTTGACGATCTCCTGTTTGTATTGGAAATACTACAAAGGCTTTACTTTTACGGAGGACTCCATCCAAATCTTCACTCCCAGGGGGGCCGCTAAACCGATCCACTATGGGGTGGGCGCTTGACCCCCTGTCTGCAGCATCTACGAGTTGCGAACCTATCAATTGTAAACAGATACTGCAGCTCGGTTCTTCTATTGTTCGATTGCCTTTTACCGACACTATATCTTTTACAGTCTGACAGGAGACATAGAGGGATGAGGAAAACTTAGGGACCCATCAAATGGTACTATTGGAACCGCTTCGGGTACTCCGTCCACACCCACACGTTGATCCAATCAACAGAAATTCTGTGACAATCGAATTATTTTTCAATTTTCCTTATTTTGTCTTACTTTTGCAGATCTCTTTTCTTAAAGAGAAGAAGAAATCGGCATGGAAATATGTACAACATCCGATGTACGCAATATCAAAGGAGTAATGTACGAAGTACTCCGTACAAAATGGTGCAAGCCAATTCGGAATGCAAAGCTCCAGCGATCGACACGAAGCTGCTGAAACCCGCATGGATGTGCCACTGGCCAATGCAAGGGCCATCCTGAAACGTTGGCGGATTCCTGTCCCGGGTTTAACACTAAGGGTATGCTTGGATCACTATGGGCATTTGCTCTTCTTCTTCTTTACTTCCAACCGAGATGTTGAGTCCGTCTACTGGAGCCTATGAAATTCGGATTCCTCAAGAGAACCGTATGAATACATCTATAACCACAGTTCTACCGAGGTTCTGACGGAAATAAGGCTAGCACCGGAGTACAGCGCTTAAGGGGTTCCGCACAAACCAATCAGAGAGTAGAGTTCAAACCCAACATTCGACATTCTGAAGGGCTCCATCAAGAGAAACAGATGTTCGGTACGAAGTACTCCGTAGGTGGACCGTGACTATCGTTTCTCTTCGCCCCCAAGCACACAATTTCTGCCGTGCTTGAGCCGCAGATGTTGCATAGAGTACGCTGAATCTGACTGTAATGAGGATTGCGAGATGACCAACTGTGCTCAACGATTCATTTCTGCATACGCTTATATGCAACCCCGCAATACTCAGTACTCCAGGACCGATTGCCCCATTCTACCGGCAGTTGGCAGTCCCCATTTTCAAGATATGATTCTCATTAATTGCGGGCAATATCACCACACCATCGTGCTAGTAAGGCAGGGGTGATCCTTTTGGGACTGGTCAAATTCACCTGTGGGGATCGATTAGCCGGAATCCTAAGAATAGACCATACAACGTTCAAGTTTGTATGGGATGATCCGGATCAACCTGGACCAACCTAGTTCGCATCACCGAACAAAAATTCTCCTTGACTCGACATGGTATAGGAATCGCCATGCCGGAGATGCGATCGAGATTATACTTTAGGAGTATGAAGTATGTACATAAGTACGGAGTACCCGGAGGGTCGATCTAGGTTGCCCCAGCTGCTTACTAGTTGCTACTACTAGGCTTAACGTAATTCACAAGCGAGCCGGCCACACAAGCCAGCCGGCCACCCCAAAACACCATAGTAAATGCGATATATTCCACATCTATATCTCAACAACCATGTATTCATTTTATCTCCTTATTTATCGATAGTAATCGATAAGGCTTGCTAGCACTATATATCAATATTAAAGCAAGCAGAAGGCTATTTTGTGATGATTTCAAAAAATACCGAAAATTACGTTGCCAAAAGCTAGAAGTATATATAACGCAACCATCAAGGTATCAACTTTTCCTAAACTCCCTAAATATACTAGATATGACTTAAAAAGCAACAATCCACAAGGGAAATCTCTATATAAACTACCGTTGTTGATATATCGAGTTGTAATTTACCGCATTTACTATATGTTTTGGGGTGGCCGGCTGGCTTGTGTGGCCGGCTCGCTTGTGAATTACGTTAGCTGCTTACTGATGTAAAAGAACAGCCCACGGGTCTCATGCTCAAAGCCTGAGATTGGGTTATTTCCCCACATGCAACTTCCGAGGAATTTCCCACGTGTGGCATGTCTTTTCTCTGGCAGGTTTTTATATTATCCAATCCCCTGTCATTCTATTTCTGTTGTATGCATAATGGGTGTTCCGCTGGTATCAAGAAGTTTCAAATAAAATCGGGAGCTCACAACACAAATACCTCACACAGTACGGAGTATATTGTATGTATATGTGTTCCGTACTCCGTACATACCTAACAGATCCCTCTTAAGAACCGGGTATCTACCATCTTGCTAGGGATTTTGACACTAAGGCGGTGTGAAGGGCGGCCTGGCAAATGGTCGAATTAGCAATCGGAATCCCCTTAATTAATTCCCTTCCCGGAGATAGTCAATAGGGTTTAGGTTCGTCAAAGCTAGACGCCACACATAAATAAATCTATCTATGAGACTATACAGTACTACTCCGTACGTCTTGCTCTGTTTCTCTGGATCTAACTGTCGTCGTTCTGAACCACCTATTCGCTTCGTTAGGTACGGACAGATTGTCAGTTCGACCTCGAGATGTCGACTTCCGAGTATATGCAATGCAGTGGCGCAGGGACCATATCTCCGGAGGGCTCTTCCTCCCGATGTGCTTCGAATGAGTTCTAATTTTATATACCCAATTTGACGCTGTGGGGTTCCAGACCATCCGCGGACTGTGACTAGTCCAGGCGCGTATTCTCCTCCTATGTCAGGAACTCTGTGGCCGGTATCAAAGTTAACGGTAAACCTACCAACGGCCAAACTAGTACTCAGGGGCGTTGAATGACTCGAGCAATTTAAACGTTGTCGATCGGCATTTGACTGGTCCAATCTCTTGGTTTTCAACGTCCGAGCGTGAGTCGTTCGGGAATAGCTCCGGAGCTGATATACCTAGTCCAGCATAGCACTCGTTTAGATAGCGAGACCTCATTGGGTTTCTTTTTCGAGTGTAATATACTTGCTTCGCTTCGCTCCGCAATGAGAATAATTTACTCCTCTTACTACGGAGTATATATATATTCATCCTTATCTCTCCGACGCATCCGTCCTTTATATAGACGTTAGCTATCGCTTCATACAAGTCTAACTACTAGAAGACAACGTATAAGCTTGACGGGTAGGGTTTTCATCCTAGAGACTAAGTAAATTATTATAGACCTACTCATCTAGTTATTATCGGCCTTAGATACGCCCTTAGTTTTAGACTACCCCTCTTAAACCTCTATACATCGGGAGGACTTCTAAGACTCACAAAAGAAAGACATAAGTATCGCTCAGCGTGGCAAACGGCCCAAGTCATTCAATATTGGCTTCTGATTTTCCGTTCCTTGCAGTTCAGCTTGAACGGGTCTTCACCTGGCCTCTGTGATTTCGTCATTTTAAATTGTATTGCTGCGTGAACTCAAAACCGATAGACAACTTACGGAGAGCAGGCTGCTAATATCGGTGCTTCCATCTTTCGTTAGGAGGGGATTAGCGCCATCGAAATCTCGCAGAAGTTTCTCGATAAGTTCAGCACGGCCACGGCCACGGCCCACTAGCATGGAGAATGTTACCGATAGTTGCAGGGACAGCTAGAACCCCCGGGTTTGGATCTCTAAGGCGGGGATCCTTATTCATAAAGGTGATGAAATTTGCTGTCTGGTAGTTATGTCATCTGATGAACTCACAGGCTGGTAGCCCTGTAAAGTGTTTTAGGGATACTTGACGTTCGACAAAGGTGGAGAGTTCTGATATGACGGATGGACTTAAGCTTCGCAGGTCCGACATTGCAGTTTGTACAGGTCAAACAAATAACAGAAGAGAAAATTTTGGACTTGAATGGAAAGGTATTTTGGATCTTTGTTCGGGAACGAGACCACGGGGGAAGGAAGTTATAGGCTTCAAGTGGTGAGAAGAGGGAGAAGTAGGAAAGTGGGACAATGAGGGTGGGGCTAGCCGTCCTAGTCATGTGACAATCCGTGAAGAAGCGAAGAATTGAAGATACGGCACAACTCCGTATATACTATATTGTGGTTTATTTTATTTTTTTGTTTACTAGTCCCCATGCTAAGAGATGGGGAATACTCCGTACCGATACTTGTCTGTCGATCCTTTTCTATAAGGGGATGAAATTAACTGATAGCGTGGCAGGTTTCCACTAAATAGAATTCTTGCACGGAGTACTAGATTCTCCGTAGTTAACTAGTAGTTACTCCGTAACTATGTTGTAGTTAATCAATTAAATAATAAATATTAGCAAATTTTCACTTCGATAGGAATCCCGAGGTCCACTAGTACTCTTCGCCAGTGCCCAGAGTGCAGATTGAACAACAGATGTGAAGCCTTTGTGGATGCCTCGGAGACAAATTGTTGGTGACGTCACTGAATAATTACAGAAAGAGACCACATTTCACAGAACCGAGTCTTATATTCTCTATACTCTTCAGGTCTACAATGGACCACATAAAGAAAAGAGCGCTAGTGGTTGTCTTCCCCATGTTCAACATCCTTGATGTGAGCGGTCCAGTTTCAGTACTCTTCAACACCACGGACTTCTCCGTGAGCTATGCCGCGAAGGATGAGCTCACAACGTCTCAAGAGAACACAACAATTAAGAGAGACATATCCCTCGCTGAAGCCAAACTTCATCTGTCCGACTATGACATATTGATCGTCCCTGGTTCACGACCAAACAATATCCTACCGCTTGTGGAAACCGATCAGGGGCCGTTATCGGAACTTGTCGAATTTATCACCTGTTTTGCATCCGACATGGACCAAGATAGCATGCGGCAACGTACTATTCTGGCCGTCTGCATGGGATCCTACTTCCTAGCCTTTGCAGGTGTCCTTGATGGCCTCACGGCAACCACTCACCGTCTTGCTGTCCCCGGGCTACGAGACGTAACCCAACGTTATGTTGATCGAACTCCTGCTGCGAAAGGGACTCGAGTCGTCCCCGAAGATCCCTCGGATCTGGTTTCCTACCTGGATGCTGGCCAGAATCAGTCCGGAGTCAGAATCATCACGACGGGCGCTATGGTCAATGGCATCGATGCCACATTGCATTTTGTTGGCCTTTGTTCGGGTCGGTCACTTGCGATTGAGGTGGCGGAGCTCATTGGATATCGGTGGAAGGAAATCTAGATGTGAAGCTAGTGGTACAAGGAAAGCCACGGGGCAAGGTTGTCTTGGCAGACCTGGCTGTTTTCATACATGCGCAAGCAGTGCGGAATACGAAATCACCGCATAGAGTCTAAGGTCTGGTGTCATATGGCTGTTTGACACAAACCACCATGAGCACTTCTCTTGATTGCACGATTTTGCTTCATCAATATGTCATACTCAAAGACCATACCCTCAATCTGCCCATTTGTCTCCCTGGCCTTTTTGTTTGTTTTCTAAAAGCGAAAGTCTATAATCGAGGTTAAGCATATGCTAGCCATTGTAATATTATATGTCACCCAAATGCCTGTTGTATAATGCGGACCTTCATCAGACTTGAACATGACACGAATGATGGGATGCCCCTAAGGCCTCCACCAATCAGATAGGTTGTAGATGCGACTCCACGCTTCGAGTGGGAAGTACATATTGCTTGGAATGTAATCACACCGGAAATACAGAACTGCAGGCCTTGAGTCAGGTTAAAATGCTTTAATCTATTGCCCCTCTCCCCCAAGAGAAGACTATATCCCAGTAGGTGTTCCAATTTCTAGAACCTTGACAAGTTGCTATAATTCGAGGAACAGGCGGTAAAGCTACAGGACAGACAGAGTAAGCTCCCCACATTTACCCCTCACGTTGACTGCAGCTATCAAGAGGTCTCTCAAGATTTCCTGTTACCTCTTGTTTGCAATGGCAAATACCATATTATCAATAGCTGACCTTGAGGAGGCGGCTTCCAACTCTCTACCCGTCTCTGCGAGAGGTATTTATTGGCTCCCCCTGTTGTTATCTCCGATATCTATCTTTAACACAGAGGAATAGACTTCTTCAACTCCGGTGCAACGAACGAAGTCACACTCCACGAAAATCATGCTGCGTATAGGAAGTACCGTCTCTTACCAAGAGTTCTGAGAAATGTGTCACTTGTCGACACTGGAATCTCCCTCTTTGACCGAGATATCACATTTCCGCTTTGTATCTCACCCACCGGAATCCAGGCTATGGCCCACCCAGAAGGAGAGCTGGCCACAAGCCGAGCCTGTGCCAAAATGGGCGTCAACATGGGTGTCTCCTCCTATGCCAATCACTCGGTTGAAGAGATCACCGTCGCTGGAAAAGAAGTAGGGTCAATTCATCATGTGATGCAGCTCTACGCGATGAACGACAAAGCCAAACAAGAACGAATCATCCGTCGGGCTGAGGCTGCGGGGTGCAAGGCTTTATTTCTGACAGCGGATAGTCCCGTACTTGGGGTGCGCTGGAATGAATGGCGGAATGGATTTATGCCTCCAGTTGGCTTAGGGTATCCGATGTATGAAAGAACATCTGCCGAGATTCAGCAGCAATCTCACGATGATGGGTTTAGCTCGACAAACTCGGATTCCCATTCCTGGGCCACGGAGATACCGTGGTTGCGCAGCGTCACGAAGATGGAGATTTGGATTAAAGGCATTCTCACTCCGGAAGACGTCGAGACTGCTATTGAATATGGCTGCGAGGGTATCATAATTAGCAACCATGGCGGTCGTCAGTTGGACGAGACACCGGCCACAATTGATGCGCTTCCTGCCTGTGCTAAAGTTGCGCGAGGACGGATCAAGATCCATATTGATGGTGGAATTCGATCTGGGGTGGACATTTTCAAAGCCTTGGCTCTTGGTGCTGAATGCTGCTGGGTTGGTCGTCCTGCACTTTGGGGACTTGCGGTAAGTGCTCCTTATTTATTCAAGAATCCTGATAGGCGGGTATACTTATTTTTTTGGTAGTATGACGGTCAACAGGGAGTCGAGCTGATGCTCAGGATCCTGTTCGATGACTTCAAGCGATGCATGCAGCTCACAGGCTGTAGATCGATATCTGAGATCAGCCCCGCAAGTTTAGCAGTTGTCAATGCATATGGGCCTTTGTCTAGACTGTGATCACTGTTGTGATTACATCTGGTGCCCAAAGCCTTATTTCCGTGCATGCTCAGCTGTTGCCACTTTTTGATCCCGGTATAATAATAAGTTTCTAAGCAAACGGAGCCACCTGCCCAGAATTGGGGGCCGCTTCGTGGACCTTGCCCGGTTCCTAGTCCCAGAGGTGAGGCTTGTAGTTGTCATGGCTTGCATATATTTCACCTGCATCTCCGTATAAAGCCTAGGCCTAAAACACCACTATTAGAAAAATTATGACGGATATAGACCATCTATGAAATACTGTTGATAGAACTTGACTATGACTCTTTGGAGGGGGCAAAGGTGTGAAAGTAAATGACGTTAACCACCTGGTTTTCAACCACCTGCCTTACAACCAGCATTTCAACCACCAACTTTGCAACCTGCTTTTCGTTTTGTAAAGTTGGTGGTTGAAATGCAGGTTGTAAAAAAGGTGGCCGAGACGTAGGTTGACCAGGGGCAATCGTGAGTCTAAAAATCAATTGTCGATTGCCCGATAACCCTGAACTCTATCGAGGAACTGATCTGCGCTGATTGATAATAATAGCCCATTCCCAGGGCTTAGGTGTGGCTTAACTTATTGTAAGTTGAAAGTGTCCAGAGCGAATATCGTCACCTGCGGGGGCAAACCGCTGAGTCATCATTGGTCTCGGGACAGCCCAGCTGGAGCCGCTAAGCTAGCCCCGAGTGTGACGCCATTATTCCGATCCCAGCTTCTCCTCATTGCCTAAGGAGTAATAATATGCACCGAGACTCATTCAGTCCATGATCCTCGGGTAAGTATCATCTTCTCGAAACAGTCTATCATTTTTTTTAAGCACGGCTCCATCATCATTCAGGTATGTCTTCATGTCCGGCAGCTATGAGGAGGTGCTAATAGCTCCTCCGGGACCATAGCAAACGTGACTCCAACGACCTCGTTGCCCAATATGCAGTCCGAGAAGGGTCCGCTTCTGGATGTGAACGAAATCTACGACTCCGACGACAATGACTTTGTTTCCAGCCACACCCTTGACAATAAGCTACAAAGAACTCACCCCTGCTGGGCGAGGGCCCTGAGGAAAGGGCTCTGCGTCTTTGTGATCACCGGTCTTATTACCTACTATCTAGGCTTATCGCATGGTAGGAGCCCCCTCTCGCTATTATAATGCGTCGCTAACATGATCGTCCTTATGACTAGGCTCTCCGTCTACTGAGAAGAACCCGTCCCCACACTCGGAGGCCCCCCCGCTTTGCCAGTCACAAGAATGCATTCATGCTGCGTCCGAAATCCTCTACAATTTGGATGCCAACTACGAGAACATAGACCCCTGCACTGATTTTGACCAATATGTCTGCGGTGGATGGAGAGAACACCATGACATGCGGCCCGATCAGGGATCGATATTTGCGGGCACAATAATGGAAGAGAATGCCCAGACTAAACTTCGCCATATCTTGGAGCGCACAGAACCGCC